TTGGAGACATAGCTCTGCCCTCAGGAGCACCCAGTCTTCTAAGAGATATAGGATGCTTCTTTCCAAGAGGATTGCAGATAGAGCCAGTAAAGAGCAAATTGTTTGTGGTTATGAGTACTGGTGCTTTAGATGTTTAGGGAGGAGAATGAGGTTGGCTAAAGAACAGGCTCAAGGTACTCCCAGAGGTCAGGAATTATCTGGGCTCAAAGTGTGTAGTCCAAGTGTTCTTCTCAAATCCATTGCATTATTTGGTGGAGTTTTAAACCTCTCAGCAGACATTAGATGACTCCTACCATTGGGTGGACAGCAGGCTCGGCCCTGAGTCTATAGTCCTGAGCAAGACAGTGAAGGTTCCTGCCCTCGTGGTGCTCACAGTCCAGAGATGTTAAAAGTGAGTCTGGTAATCATGGGTGTGATGCTTATGTGGTGTGGGACATGCAAGGTAGTTTGGCATAGGCTGCAGCACATCTGGCAGCTGTGCCTGCAAATGCGTCAAGAGCTAGAGGGGCCACTTGGTTCTGGGCAGGCATGAGGTGGAAGGGGTGGGGGAATGTTGAACATAAAGCAGAAAAGAGGCAGGACAAAGGGAAATCAGGAAGAGAAACATGACAGAGAGTCAACTAAACTAAGAAGGGAGATGGAGGAAGCCAACTAGGAAAGTGGTTGGCATAGAGTTTCAGGGAAGAGACTCTCTTGAGTCAGAAATAGGGAGGAAACAACTGGTAGCACAGTGGGAACTCCTTATTGAACAACTCTTATCTAAGCCAGATACTATCTTCTTTTTTCTTCAGCATACATGGAGACTCATGGTTTTATTAGGACAGAGGAATGTGAGGGTGAGGAAACCAAGATATATTCATGAAGGGTAATCAAACGGGCATTTCTTTATCTGCAGAAGATGAGATCAGCAACCACATAGTGAACCCACAGTTTACCAACTTTGTGTATTTTGTACCTCTAAGTTCTTGTACAAAAGCAGCACTGGCTCCTGACTGTAGCTGAGCAAATGTCATTCTATTGACTGGATCGCAAAGGAGCCCAGGGAAAAGACGGAGCTCAGACAGGGAGAACTCTGCCTATGCCAGGGAACCCTTAACACCTGGGTCATTGAGGTGTCAAAGTCAGTGGGCAACATTGGATCTTTGAGAGTGAGCTGCAGGGAGCAGTATTATTGGAGGTTTCCCACCACAAGATTTAGAATTATATGTGGAATACCACACACACACACAAAAAAAACAGGCTGCACCCCCAGCCTCCCCCCTGCACGTTCACCTTTGGGCTGCTGGCCTGGAAATTGCTTCAGGGTTTTGGGAAGGTTCTGGACAAACATTTTTCCTCTAGCTCGTCAACATTTCAGACTGCTTTAATTTTTTTTAAACATGTAAAGAAGTGTGATAAATAAATATTATTTCAATTTATAGAGAAGAAAATATTTAGAATATAGGGATATTCAAAGACTAAAATAAACAATATCTTTTACTCACCAGCCATACATAGCCACTGTTTATGATTTAGCTATATTTACTGCCAATGTTTTGTACACCTGTCATAATATTTTACATGATCCCGATATTGTCTGAGCATTTTTCCATATGACTAAATATGATAATTTTATGATCACAGTATATTCCATTACTTAGATACAGCTTTTTCATATTATATATAAGTTGAAATGATCATCCTAATAAATAAATATTTGTGTACAGGAATGTGGGGGCCATGCAGATGTTTAAAGATTTTGATTCATTTTGATCAACTCCCTTCCAAGATGGTCCCTTGACTTTAACCCCTAAGAGCTGTGTGCCGCCTGCCAGAGTCCCCATGCAGGGCTGCCTCCTAGAGGTATTAGACACTTTCCATCGTGCTCATGAGCAGCAATTTGAATTCACCTCAACATGTGCGTAGCTTACAGACCCAAGTGATGCCATTCTCTCCTGCCAGTCTGACAACTACTCAGCAAGTTGCAAAATTTTGTTGAACAATTTTTGTCTTACAGTTTCCAAACATCTCTGAGCTCTTTTCAAACCTATTTGAAATGCTGGCATGATGCAGACACTGCTGTCTCCTTCCTCATACCGCTTTGATATCATAGACCATCCATCTTGTCAAGAAATGGGCTTCACTCCCCACTGACCACCTCAGCCCCTCTGAAAAGTTCTGTTGCCCTCTCATGCTCGGGAGATTGTTCCCTAGTATCCCAGACCTGTTCAATAAAGCCTTTCGAACCTGCTGGTCACCAGTGAAATCAGAAAGGTAGGGCTCCAAGGGAAAGAGCCAGAGGACTCTGGGTGTAATCCAGAAACATGATTTCTAGGTATCTAATTACTCTAATTATCTTGTATCTAATTATCTTCCCCTTTCTAGATATCAATTTGTTTATCTGGAAAATGAATGGGCTGTACTAGGTGCTTCTTAAGTTTTCTTACACCCTAACATTTTATTATTAAATAATATATCTTAATGACCTGCTCTTCCTCAACTTTATGCTGATTTTTTGTCTTATCTGTATTAATCTCTCTTCCTTCTGAAATCTGCTTGAACTTTTCTGTTCTTTTTCTTTTTCATTTGATGCATTTGCTTTTATGTTTTAGTTAGAGAAGCACCATGTGTGTGCGTATGTGTGTGTGTGTGTGTGTGTGTGTGTGTGTGTGTGTGTGTAAAGAAAGAGAGAGAGAGAAGAGCGTATGTGCTTTTGTAAGAGCATATGTTTGTAGGGGAAAGGATGAAGATCATCTTTCTTAGGGTTCTCCTGGGACAATCTCTGTGGATTCTACTCTCCTTCCTGCTACAGCATTAGGTGTCTTCACAGTGGGCACGAAATAAAAGAAAAAGACTAAGATGATTAAATCAGTGTGTGTATGTATGTGTGTAGTATGAATATCTATCGGCATATGAATGTCTGTGTATAGAGTCTATCCCTCTGTGAGTGTGACTGTTTAAGTGTTTGGCTCTATGTGTTGGTGGCATCAGAAAGGGAGGATGAATGAAGAACAGTTAATCAGGTTGGAATATGTACGAGTATAATTTCCTTGGAATAATTGTATAGAAAGAAATCAACCAAACAAAATAAAGACAATTTGAGGACAGGGATTGAGAGTCAGAGATGACTGGAAGCAGGCACCATCTAAATTCAGGTGTGGCTCACTCAAGCGAAAGAAGGGAGCCCTGTTCTAGCTGTGGCTGCCTAAAATAACAGACTCTGGGTGGCCTTAAACATTCTCCCACGGCCAACCCCAGAATGTTCTGCAGGTACAGCAGCCACATGTACACACATACACGCGTTCTCAGTGCTACGATCGGGTACCTTCTGGCTATAGACCTCACAACCAGCTCTCACTGACTTAGTTCTCGCGTCACACTGAGATGGCAATGAAAGTTGAATCAGCCAATGACATACACAACCAGGCATGGAGTTTAAAGTTATTTATTGGGAGAAGAACAGGGAATATTCCCCTGCTCCATCCCCAGACCCCTCTTCAGATGAACCCTGAGCAACCGGAAGACCAGCTCACCGAGTGAGAATTTCTGCCTTATTCACAAGCTCAGGAACCTTCCAGAGTGAGGGTAAAAGACACCTTTTTTGAGGTACAAAGAGGGAGGGATTATGACTCAGGGTGACAGCATGCTAATTGCAACGTCAACAGGCAAATGGGGCTCGTGAGCAGAGTGGGATGGGGGCTCAGCATCCGGTGGTCGGCTCCTCAAGGGCATGGCTGTGGACCACGTCACTTCTGCTTTGTCTTCTGCTGGGCTGGTGCTGGAGTGACGGTTGGGGGGCAGGGCTCAGGCACCTTGGGGTGGCAGGGCTCAGGAACCTTGGGGTGGCAGGGCTCAGGCACCTTCGGGTGGCAGGGCTCAGGCGCCTTGGGGTGGCAGGGCTCAGGAACTTTGGGGTGGCAGGGCTCAGGCGCCTTGGGGTGGCAGGGCTCTTGGGGTGGCAGGGCTCAGGCGCCTTGGGGTGGCAGGGCTCCTGGGGTGGAGGCTGGCAAGGCTGTTTCACCTGCTGCTGCTGAGGCTGAGGGGGTGGGGCGCAGGGCTGCTTCCGCTGCTGGGAATTCATGCTTCAACAGTGGCTTTCTGTAGGGACAGAAAAGCTGACTCAGTGATTCAGTTAAACAGGGAAGAAGTCAAGGTCAATGACAAATAGATTTAATTTCAGGCCCCTTTTAAAAGGGAGAGGCTTTCTTATCCCCTCACTGTACCACTAAACTGGAAACTAAAATATTCTTTCATAATTTCTGGGCCTTTTCAAGAAAGGCAATTTGTTCTGCTCTATTTCAGTGGGGTTTTTTCCTCAGCTCCCTTTTGTCCCCAGACACGTTACATTCTTCATTGAAAAATGCCCTAAGGAAGTTGGCTTCTGGGAGGGACTTGAGGCCCACATATGAGGCCTTTTGGAAAGTGGCAGCAAAGGAAGTACTGCAGTCTATTCATTCCTCCTCCCTCATAGGATGACTTGTGACTTACAGGATGGCTCTATATTAATCTAAACCCCAGTGATTTTGCTCCCTGTCTTTCCTCACATAGTCCCCTCTGAATGCTTTCCTTCCCACCTCTGCTTGTCCAAATACTCCTCCGCCATAGCTCACATCTCCTGCCCCCACCAGGAGGCTCTTTTGGAGCAGTGTTCCCCAAAACTACACTGCCCTTCCCTGCCCCTTCCTCCCATGCCAGCCACTATCTACCTCACGTTTCATCACTTTAAGTGCATCTATTACCTTCCCTGCTAGGTTGTAAGTTTGTTGAGTAGGTTTCATGTTGGTCTGATTTACCCAAGTGCCTAGTGTCCTGCCTTAAATATAAGAAGTGCTCAGTGGAGATCTGTCTAATGAATGAGAATCTCTATAAGTATCATACCAGAGGAGCTTGTGGTGTTGCTGAGGGTGCTCTGGGCCTGAGCCTGTGCCCTAGCGCTGCTGTGAGCTCCTGGTGGGCACAGGCATGTCTCCCACCCCTGCCCAGCCCCAGTCCAATGGCTGTCTACTGAGGTGCCAACCCAACCACCCCTAAGGTCCCTTCAAACCCAAACCGTACTTTTCCTTAAAGACCTTCTCTACTCTCTAACTCTGATACCCTGCATCGACCCTCTTATACATGCCTGCCTTTATCCAGCTTCCAATAATAAAAAAAATAAATAAGAATTCCAGATTGGTTACAATCAGAGACTCACCTGGTACACAGAGAAGAACAGGCTGTCTGGTCGCTTGGGTCTGGTGTGAAGGCAATGGCCAGCTGGCTTTTATAAGATGGATGAGCCCTGCCTCAAGGAAATAGTATCGCCCAGGCGCTCTGTTTTCCTTCCTCACTTGTCACCCATGATTCACACTCCCCCCTTCATCGCCCGTTGGCTCAGCTTTTGTGATGAAAACCACCCACCTGATATTTTTTGGCCTGGCTGGCTGACAATGATGTCACCTGGATCTAATCCTCACTGCCACCCTCCTGCTCAGACCCAGGTGCAGGGCTTGTGCTGGGGAGCAGCAGGCTTCCTGGAGGATTTAATGAGTTAACCCTGGAGGGATCAGAGTCCTTTGAGGCCTTGTCACCTGCTGTCTTTGACATTGAGACTGTTGTCCCCATTCTATGGGATAGAATACTAGGGCACATGGACAGCTGGGAAGAGAAAGGGAGCAGAGGAGCCCAGGCGTGCACTCCTTGTCTGCCTTAGTGAAGGTGGAAGCTAGAGACAACGGGATTGACTGATAATAGACTCCTCGTCTGGGGGTCCAAGACCTCTCCATTCATTCCCCCATCTTTCTCCTAACTCCATTGAACCACACGCATTCAGAATAATTTGCTTAACCCCCCTGCCCCCACCCCAGCCCCACCCCTTCCTGACTGGTTGCTAATCTGGGAAAACCTGCTTTGCTTTCACCAACCACACCTTTACCCCTCTCCTACTTCAGGGACTTAAAAGGACTAATCCCTTTTCTGGGATAAACTTTTCCCTCCACTCCACCCAGCCACCTGACTGTGGCCCTTTCCTCCTTTCTAACAGGGCTAGATTGCCTCCCCCACCCCCGGAAACCGGAAGTCTTTTCTAACTACCTCCCCTCACTCTGCCAGTCATGGAATCTTCAGTGCCGAAATCCCCCCACGTCTTGCGGGCTTCCGGCTCCGCCCTTGATGCCGGGAGATCCTGCTGTCTGCAAGGTTTTCCTCCCCTCTGTGGCTCTGGGTCTCCTGGGGGCTTTCCGAGGGTCAGAGCTATGCTCACTCAAACCAACGGCGTTGCCGCAAGTAATGTGTGTTTCCTCATTCATTCAACAAATATTAATGGGGTCCCTGACGTGTGCCAGTCACATCTGTTATTTGAGAAGCTTCCTGAGAAGGAAGCCCACTGTCCCGACAGACCTGGAACTCCTCATAGTGAGAGAAACAGCACTGCTCAGAGCCACTGAGACTGTGCATCTTGGGGAGCCTTTAGTCCATACTCCTCAAGGGATGATTGGGAATCTGAGGCCACAAGAGGTGAAATAACTCACCCAAGGTCAATCAACAAACCCCAGGAGGAAAAGAATTCTACACAAAAATCCTATGTTCTTTGTTTTAGTCCGTTGCTACTCCCGAATGAATGTCTATGGAGGAAATTAAGCGCAGGCGGGAAAGTGATTAAAGGCAGAAAGGGGAGCTTAGCCTTCTTGACTTACAGCTGGGTACACCCATGGTTCTGGCAAGGCCGTGCCTGAGTGGCCATGGCAGGAGACAGAAAGAGCCTTGCCTTGTGGGTGTGCCTTACCTGTGGCTAAAATGAATCCTCTTAAGTGGGAATAAAGCTGCTAACATCTGAGATGGCTCTGGGATAAACAGTAGGTGGTTCTAGCTCTGCTTAAAAACAGGACGGGCATGAACTGGCAAAGGTGGAAAATTTTCAGTTTTTTATCACTCCGTGGACCAGGGTCCAAGAGAGGAGGAAAAAGGCCAAATGCCAACATGCCTGTTTTGAATCTGAGTTGCTTTGACTCTGGGGGAGGTCTCAGGGTGGCATAGTGGCAAGGCCGTGGTGCCTGACCAGTGAAGATATTGGGCAGGGCAGCAGATGACCAGCCTCCGAGTACCTGCCCAGGTATGCCTTCCCTCCATGAGGGGCGGATTCTGAAGATCTGCCTGCCATGGGACTTCTCTTTTCTGGGGTTCCCTGAATGTTCACACCAGCAATTTCCTATGATTAACATAACATGAAACTGAGGTCACTGATTCAGAACTGCACTCAACACACAATCTGTTACTAGGTGTGGCCTTGGGAAAATCCAAATCACCCTTAAAACTCAGGTGTGTGCATGGTTCCTCCTCTTCATCTCACCCCTCCACTCCCCAAACAGCAGGTGTTTGTGGAGCACCTGCTGGCCCCACAGCTGGGCCACCTCCCATGAACCTGAGTCAGGGTCAGCCCCCAGTGTCCCCACAGCCATTCGTCCACATCCATCCCCGTCCTCACACGGTGCCTGGCGTGCAGGGGCTGTGGGTGACGGGCAATTACAGACTGACTGGCTGGCTGGATGAATGAATGAATGGGTGAATGCGTGAATGGCATTATTTGTAGAGACTGCTTTGAGAACTGCTGATGAGTTCCTAGTAAGAGAAACATTCCCTTGTGCTGGAGCTTTTGGGGTTGGCTGAGAAGGGACGTGAGGGCTCAGCAAAGGGCAGAGGACGCTTCTGCTGCCCCCTCTACCTGTCTGCTCCACTGCCAGCCTCCTTAGTGCCCCACCTCTCTCTGGGCTGGTGCCAGTGCCACCACCACACCTGGGCTCCGGGCCACTCTCCTCCAGGCTTGGGCCAGGCCCCCCTCTTCAAATCCCCTCTCAGGAGCTCCTGAGTCAGGAGGCTCCAGGCAGAACCCGATGCTGTGTGTGTGGGATTCTAAGCCCTGGAGCAACCTACTCCCTGCTCCTCTGTCCTTTGGTGCCACCCAACTTGTCTCAGGCCCTGGATTCTCTGAACCCAGCTTCCAAGTACAAACATACAGTAATAAGAGATTTTTACCTTCCCCCTTCTCCGATCGCCTCTAGCATCTAGGGACACCAGAGTGTCAGCTGCTCAATTCAGGCCATGATGATTTTGTTTTTAAAAAATGTGTAACACACAGGGTCCCCCTTTGAGAAACAGCAGAAAAAAGGAGGAAGAAACACCACACCCTCTTCCCCTCCTCTCTCCTCCCAGTCCATGGAGGGATGAATGCAAATTTAAAACTGGCTTCTCTCGCTTGAGGCGGGTAGAAAGGACTGAGGCTTAACGTCTGGCCCAGTTGTTTCAGAGCCTTTATTGGTTGGATAATCTTGAGCAAGTTGCCCAGTCTTACTGCACTTTAATGTTCTTATTTTTAAAAGGAGAACTTTAAATTCCACTTCACAGGATTGCTGTAAAGATGACATGAAATGATGTTTCAAAAGTTGTTAGGATGAATGGGCTAAATATGTCTTACATAACAATTCTTGCTAATTTGTCTCATTCTTTCCTCTTCTTCCACTTGAAATCAGATGAAACTTCCCATTGACTGTGAGTATCCCTTTTTTCTGCTTACTCTGTGTGCTTGTCTGTGTGTGTGTGTGTGTGTGTGTGTATGTGTGAGAGAGAGAGAGAGAGAGAAAGAGAGAGAGAGAGAGACAAAGAGATGATCGAAGGGCAGGCATCCTTCCTCAGTGGAACAATATTCTTGGCCTTTGTGATTGCTTTATTGCCCCTCATTTTTTCCGCTTCACTCTCAGGTTTACATGTTTACCAAATTATACCTTGAGTCACTGGACAGGGACCATGACTGCACAGTGCATGCTTTGTATGAGCTGGGGCACAGGAGGTGGCTAAAGTTATTGGTGATCACGCAATGATCTGGGTATGGCCCTAGGTAAGGAAACTGAGGCGGAGAAGCATTAAGTAACTCTCCCAAGAGGTCATAAAGGTCTGATGTGCCAGGATCCAGTCCCTTAACAAGCATGGGGCACTCCATCAGCTATCAGGCTACTCTTAGGAGAGAAACTGACTGGGTCCTGCCATTCTCACACATCGGAGCTGATCAATTATCTGTCATCCATTACAGATAGAGTTTCTGTGAGTATGGAT